TGTGTGGATTGAATTATTATTGCTCAGCTGTTATAAACATAAATATACAATATATGTACATTGTCGGAAAATATATAATTTATTTGTATAAGCTTTAGAAACAGGACGAAAAGCAGAGCCCTCATGAAATATGAATATTCTTGGGTGAACAAATCTTCATATCTCCCTCTGTCACTGGAAATAAATGTATATTGTGTTTAATATAAGTTTAAGTTCCCTATATACTAAACTAAAGATGCTAAAGTCTCAACATCATGAAATTTGAAATAAACCATAAAAATTTTTGCCAAAAGTATTGAATTATATTACTCCATTTTAACTGAAACTTGATTTTACCATAGTGCCTAAGTTATATGCTAATTAATTATGAGGCTTAATCAATTGCCCTTCTTTCAATGAAAATTACACGTTAAATTGCCCTTTTTTCAATGACATTTACGTGTAAAATTGCCTTTTTTCTGACTAGCACCCTGCCCTTTTCAAATCCTGGCTAGAACACTGAGTTATGCCCCTTTATAAATGGAAAAATTGCAAAATTTTTAGTTTCCGTTCTCTTACTTTAAGTTTGCCTCAACCAAATATTATGAAACTTATACACAATACTTATTACCATAAAACACAGATCAAGTTTGAAATTTGGTGGCGTCACTTTACCCGTTCTAGAGTTATGCCCCTTTATAAATGGAAAAATTGCAAAATTTTAAGTTTCCGTTCTCTTACTTAAGTTTGTCTCAACCAAATGTTATGAAACTTATACATGTTATACACAATGCTTATTACCACAAAACACAGATCAAGTTTGAATTTTGGTGGCGTCACTTTAACCGTTCTAGAGTTATGCCCTTTTATAAATGGAAAAATTGCAAAGGGTCAGCGGGAATAAAAAAGCATGAATGGTCAATTTTATTTTTATTCTGCAAATCAGAAAAATAGGGTCAGCGGATCCGTAAACCAACAAATAAAAAAACCCTGGCCTAAGGGGCCTAAACAATACTTTTCTAATACACTGTACAAGTTACCTAGTTCTTGACCAATTTCAATGAAGTTTAATGCAAAGTCTTGGATTTTTCGGGTACTTTAATATGCTGAATTAAACTTATCTTGTATTTTTGGATCTGTTTTTAATCTTTCAGGGGACTTACTTAAATGAGTGATTTTCTAAATCACTGATTCAAATGACATTGTGTCCACTAATGTTGGAAGTAAGAGTTGTCATTCTTCAATAATCACCAATTTAAGTAGTACATGTACAAATAAATCACTAGACTGAGTGATTTAATTTTATTGTAGCTTTAAATGTATAATACATGGACTAATTATGTTGCTAAAATTACCAGAACCGACATCTGTGTTTATAGCATGTCCAGTCATGTCAAATGATAACCTTGTACTGAATCTGGGATATTGACATGAAAATCACTTGTTTAAGTATCATACCTCCATGACCTCTATTTATTTTAAAAAATCACTTCTTTAAGTATTATTATTTTAATCCCCCCCCCCTAATTTCAACACCCACGAACAGTAAAATTTTGATGGTGAACAGTAAAATTTTATTATCTGTTAAGAAAGGAAAGTTCATTATTTAGAGCCTTTATTTTAGCATTTTTTCAACAAAAATCAAATTGATAGCTGAATTATTGCATCAAAGGCAAAAACCATGCTATTTAAATAAAGCAAAAGGTTCATTTATTTCAATTTTACTAATAATTAGATATAAACTAAAACTGTATGTTTAAAATGTTGGTAAAACTACAAATTGACAAAATTTCTTATTTGCAACATTTTTATTCGACCGCAAACAATTTTTGCAGTCGTATATTGGTATGACGTTGGCGTTGTTGTCGTCCGAAGACACATTGGTTTTCGCACAATAGCTTTAGTTTAAGTGAATGGATCTCTATGAAATTTTACCATAACGTTCAATACCACAAAAGGAAGGTTGGGATTGATTTTGGGGGTTATGGTACCAAAAGTTAAGGAATTAGGGGCCAAAAATGGGCCAAAAATAAGCATTTTTTTGACATTGTACCACAAGGTTCCATATCACAAAGGGAATGCTGGGATTGAATTTGGGAGTAATTGCCTCAAAATTTTAGGAATTAGGGGCCAAAAAAGGGGCAAAAACAAGCATTTTTCTAATTTCATGACAATAACTTGTGTGTAAGTGTATGGATCTTTCTGAAATTGTATTACAAGGTTCCATATCACTATGGGAAAGCTGGAATTGAGTTTGGGGGTAATTGCCCTAAACGTTTAGGAATAAGGGCCAAAAATAAGCATTTTCTAGTTTCCAGATAATAACTTGTGTTCAAGTGTATGGATCTCTCTGAAATTGTACTGCAAGGTACCATACCAGAAAGGGAAGGCTGGGATTGAGTTTGGGGGTGATGAATCATAAGGGGGTTCAAAAAATTTGGGGGGGGGGGGGGGGGATTTTTTTTCGGTCCAAAATTAAACTTAGTTTGATTTTAACAAAAATTGAATTCTTGGGGTTCATTGATATGCTGATTCTAAACATGTATTTAGAGTTTTGATTTTGGGCCCAGTTTTCAAGTTGGTCCAAATTGGGGTCCAAAATTAAACTTTGTTTGATTTAAAAAAAAAATTGAATGTATGGGGGTTCTTTGATATGCTGAATCTAACCATGTATTTAGATTTTTGATTTTTGGGCCCCGTTATCAAATTGGTCCACATTGAGGTCAAAAGGGTCCAAAATTAAACTTTGATTGATTTCATCAAAAACTGAATTCTTTGGATTCTTTGATATGCTGAATCTAACCATGTATTTAGATTTTTGATATTGGACCATAATCATGATAATAAAGGTCCAAAAGGTAAAAAATTTAACTTTAATTTTTCTTTGTTGTTCTTAATCATGTTAATAGCAACTTCAATCCATTGCTTTTTGATGTTTGATAATACGTGTTTAATGTTAGTAAACAATAAATATATAAGCTAATTGTTTGCAAAACTCTTTGAATACATTTTATAGTCTTGCATCTACATGCTGTTAATAAAGTACTGTTTTCTCCCTTTCAGCAGTACATTGTATTACAACAAATGGTCAGAGGAGTTGACTGATAATGGACTGGAGTAACCTAGGGTCCAATGACTCTGAAAATGCATGACAGTACTGGCATGTGTACATGTATGTCGACAGCCAATTCTAAGTAACCTTAAACGTATACATTGTATATACAAAAGACCTGCAATAATGGTATGTGCATCTATGGGTGACTTATATTTCACTGTTGTCACACAGTGTTGTGTGGCTTTATTACTGGTCAGACTATCTATCCTTTACTATTATAAAGTTCAAATATCATGTACATGATTATGACTTGCATTGTATAAATTATGATGCAGCATGATATCTTTTTGACCTACATTTTATGTCTCACTGATTTATTAAGTACATTGTATACGTACATGTATGTGGGTATATCATGTACATGTGCAGTACTTTTGGGTCTTGCACAAATACATTGCCATTGCAGTTAAAATAAATTTGATCGCTGACAATGACAGAGTGTTTTGAACATTACCTCATAGTGTTGATCAGAATACCTTTATATTAAATCAATAAAATTTTATTGTCACAGATAGAAAATATTTAGTATTTTAAAAATAAGGAGATGGGTAGGATTGCCAATGAGAAAACTTATTGCCAGTCGAAATGAAGGGGATGTAAGAAATATTAGGTCACTGTATGACCTACAACAATGAACAAAACCATACTGTAGTGTCAGCTGTACAAGATCCTGAAAAAATGAATAACAATAAATGTCAATTCAAATCAGAAAACTAGTGACGTTCTAATTACCAGTATTGGTAATATAAAATTTTAAAAAACTGACACTTATTTTCTCTCTCGTTAAATTTTTTTTTTGAAATATTCCCCAACATGACCAAGAGAGAACTGTATTGCCAATTTATTTTTTATCGGAAAGCAGTGCATCAATTTCAGGTGTTTTACGTGATAATCACAGGAATTTAAATTTTCAGAATTAACTCCTCAGATGTCAGTGGAATGGAAGTAATACACATCATATGTTTCAATGAAATTAATATGATTAATGATGGGATAAGACGTAGAGGAGATCCTATATCTACAATACATGACGTGATGTATATGTAACTGGTATGTATATTTGTTACAGTATTAATAGTCCAAATGGTATAACAATAACAAAAATACTGAAGGCAATTTCAAAAAAGTGAAGTTCATGCATATGGTAGTGGCTGCTGGGTTTTACTATTTGTATTATTAAGCTTTACAATGTATATTTCATAGGGTAGTAGACTTGGATGTTTCATAAATTGTATACAGATGCCTTTTTGTCGAGCCTTCGACTTTAGTCGAAAAAGTGAGACATAGCGATCCTACATTCCGTCGGCGTCGGCGGCGTCCACAAATATTCACTCTGTGGTTAAAGTTTTTGAAATTTTAATAACTTTCTTATACTATCCTGGATTTCTACCAAACTTGGACAGAAGCTTCTTTATGATCATAAGATAGTATCCAGAAGTAAATTTTGTAAAAATAAAATTCCATTTTTTCCGTATTTAACTTATAAATGGACTTAGTTTTTCTGCCGGGAAATATTACATTCACTCTGTGGTTAAAGTTTTTAAAATTTTAATAACTTTCTTAAACTATCCTGGGTTTGTACCAAACTTGGACAGAAGCTTGTTTATGATCATAAGATAGTATCTAGAAGTAAATTTTGTAAAAAAATAAATCCATTTTTTCCTTATTTTACTTTCAAATGGACTTAGATTTTCTGCTGGGAAACAACACATTCACTCTGTGGTTAAAGTTTTTAAAATTTTAATAACTTTCTTATACTATTTTGGATTTGTACCAAACTTGGACAGAAGCTTGTTTATGATCAAAAGCTAGTATCTAGAAGGAAATTTTGTAAAAAAATAAATCCATTTTTTTCGTATTTTACTTTTAAATGGACTTACATTTTCTGCCAGGAAACAACATATTCACTCTGTGGTTAAAAGTTTTTAAAATTTTAATAACTTTCTTATACTATTTTGGATTTGTACCAAACTTGGACAGAAGCTTGTTTATGATCAAATGCTAGTATCTAGAAGGAAATTTTGTTTTTTGCAGTTAACATTACATTCAGTCTACAGTTAAAGTTTTTAAACATTTATTAGATTCATAAACTATCCTGGATTTTTACCAAACTTGGGCATAAGCTTCCTACAATCAAAAGATAGTATCAAGAGAAATATTTTTATTGATTTACCTACTCATTTTTGTTGAGCCTGCGATTAACAGAAAAAGTAGGCGAGACACTGGGTTCCGCGGAACCCTTACGAATTTTTTTACAATGTTTCTGTCCATCATATGTTGGTTGGCCATGTTGGATCACATTTTAATGGTTCAGCGACTGCTTGAAAAAAAGTTTAGGCTTTTTTGCTTTGTGAATTTCTTTTTTTTTACATTATGAGTAAATTAGGATATCTGTATTTGGAATATTGGTTCCTTGCAATGTTTATATGTACACGTACATGTCTGTGAGACAGGATCACCTGACCTTACTTCATGGAGCTGTCAAGGTAAAAGTTACGTGATTAACACATGTCAGTCCTTTTCTCAGATATAGTAAGCAGAACTTGAGTAGATCAACTGTATTTGGTGTTTAGAATGAACAATGACCTCATTTCCATGGTTCATTGGTCAATGTTAACTTTTATTTCTTGTAGGCAATATGTCAAGTATATATGATGTATGGAATGATTGTAAGTTGTACATGTCCATGATGTCTGTCTGGACAGAGTTCATCTGACCATGCATGATCTGATTTGGATGGTTCATTGGTCAATATTAAGATTTAATAATTTAGTCTGTTTAGTGTATACTATACATGCTACATGTATAATCAATTAAAAGATCAGCTTTTTATACATCCGTCAAAGTTTTGACGGGATGTACATTTTTTGTATTATGGTATACAAATGTCGTCTGTCTGTCCGGCGTAAAGATGTCGCACCGTAACTTGAGAACGACTTATCCAAATTTCATGAAAAATAAGATAGTTGTTTCTTATGTTGGTCAAACAATCTGTATACTTTTTGGTGAAAATAAGATTAAAACTTTTTGAGTTACGGGACTTAGTAACTAAAACAGGTGTGTGGTTTTTTTTCACATGTCGCTCCGTATCTCAAAAACAATTGATGATTATTGCTTAAAACTTTACACACTTCTTAGTTATACTAATCTTAAGATCTGTATACTTTTTGGTTTTGATTCAAAATTTCATTTTAGAGATATTGATTTTTTTTTAAAAAGGGGGGTTTTCACATGTCGCTCCGTACCTCAAAAACGATTTATGATTATTGCTTGAAATTTTACACACTTCTTAGTTATATTAATCTAAAGATCTGTATACCTTTTGGTTTTGATTCAAAATTTTATTTTAGAGATATTGAGTTTTTTGTAAAAAAAAAAAAGGGGGGGGCTTTTCTCATCACTTGGCGTCGTCGTCTGTTAACTTTTTCAAAAATCTTCTCCTCTGGAACTACTTGGCCAAATTTAACCAAACTTTGCCAAAATCATCATTAGGGTATTTAGTGTAAAAAGTGTGTCTGATCAATGACCCCGCCTACCAGCTGACATTGCTTAAAACGGAACATAGTGGTAAAATGCAGTTTTTGGATTATATCTCTGAAAGTAAAGCATTTAGAGACAATTTGACATTGGATAAAATATGTTCATCAGATTATGATATATAATATATCTGTCTGTTGTTGGGTTGCTGCCTTTGAATTAGTAATTTTAAGGAAATTTTGTAGTTTTTGGTTATTATCTTGAATATTATTATAGATAAAGATAAACTGTAAATAGCAATAATGTTCACCAAAGCAAGATCTACCAATAAGTCATCATGACCAAAATAGTCAATTGACCTGATAAGGAGTTATTGTCCTTTAAAGTAAAATTTAACAATTTTTCGTAATTTTTTTTAATTCACAACAGTCTTCTCCTGAAACAACAGAGACAAATAAACTAAACTTGGCCACAATCATCATTAGGGGATCTAGTTTTTAAAAACATGGCAGACATGGCTAAAAATAGAACATAAAGGGAAAATGCAGTTTTTGACTTGTATCTCTGAAACTAAAGCAAAAGTATAACAGTTACATTATTTCATGCATCAATTGTAAATAAAAATATCAGGTGAGCGACACAGGGTCCTTGGAGCCTCTAGTTTGGTGTATGCAATAATTGTACATGTTGTAAGGTGCACATGTCTGTCTGGCTTGGTTTATCTGAACTTGACCTTAATATGAATTGCTTGACAGTATATTTTCATGAATCATTGGTAATGTTAAGTATATTTGGTCCTTATTGTAAACTTATAATTATTCTTGTATCTTGAGGACAAGCACCATAAAACAGAGGGGACATAAAAATACCTGGAGTCTGTCTATCCCTTTGGCCTTATAAGCGCTCTCACTTGCATGTCTTGTACAATTCTTGTCAAAGTTTTAGGAAACTTATTTTGATAGGTTATATCAACAATGTCTGACAAGTTTTAAAATCAGTGCCAATCATTCATTTTTAAAAGAGTTATGCCCCTTGGAAACATTAATTATTTGGAAAATTGCATTGTTATGGCTCTTGTGTACAATTCTTGCTAGAATTTTATGAAATTAATATTAAATAGGTTTATATCATCAGAATGATCAGAGCATTTTGATTTCCATCTGTAATGTTTACAAATTCCAGATTTCATGGCAAATTTCAACCATTACAAACCTCCACAAGCTCCATAGCAGAGGTAATCAAAAAGTAGTGCAGCAACAAACAACAACTATTAATATTCCACTTCAGTTAATCCGACACACAATATACATGTATGATTATATACATAGATATAAGAAGATGTTGTATGAGTGCCAATGAGACAACTCTCCATCCAAGTCTCAATTTATAAAAGTATATACATATATGTACCCGGTAAGTTTAAATATTAAATTGATGTTATCATTTTTGCTTGAATAGTAAGGCAATATTTAATTTGATGTATATTTTACAAAATAATATATGCTGGGTTTTTTTTTTATTACAGCAAATGTATTCCAAGAGTTTATGGCTGATTATGCAACTACAGGATTTTATCATGGAAGCAACATCTTAGAAGGATAAGTGCAAATGTATGAAGGAAGCCTTGTGTATAAATACATGTAGCAATTACATGCAGGAGAGAACACTTAAACATTACTAGCATGTAGTCATGATATTGGAGTGGTGCATTCTAGAAATCTAAACACCAGGAATTAAATATTGTATATATTTTTTTTCAACTACAAGTACTTTCAGTATATCATACAATTCTAATTCAAATTATTGTGTCAACATGACAGTTACTGTCTAAAAATGGAAAATGCTTGTTTTAAAATGAATTTTTTATAAATATATAAATAACAAGAATTTTTAGCTTATTGTGAAGCCAAACTTTGAGATCTTTTAATGGTATATGCCTGTTGTTTGTCACCATTTATTTTCTTTTTGACTTAACCTTAAGATCAGTGGTAAAATGAAAAACTGAAAACCATATATGAAATAAGAAAGAAATGGTTGTAAATAACAGCAAGACTTTCAATATGGTATATCAAATATATTTCACAGAACTTTCTATTTCAGTTTATTAATACAATGAGGTTTGAGGTATAAATCAATCAGACAGTAACACAACAACAAAAACACCTGAAAAGTCCTCAACAATAGACAGGTGTCTAAACAATATGTCATGATCTGTTTTAATTGACCAGAGTACATGAGTATGTGGCAGGGTGAACTACCTTTTTTTCTTCAAAACTCTCATAAGAAGAATTGGCATCTTTTGCAAGTAAGACTTTTCCATAATGTGATTGGAATGTCTCAAAACTGATGAACACAAAAAGACTTATACATACATATTAAAAATGAAATATACATCAGTGCATACATCTTCTATAAATAAATCACCTTCCATACATCAAATTAACAAAAATATTGAGACTTGAACACAACCAAAAATGTTCTAGGAGTGAACTATGGTGCCCTGGATATTTGCTTGCCTTCTTGGTTTTATTGAATCTATCTGCTGCA